CAGCCGCCGCCCCTGGTGCGAGAGGAGGAGGAGGAGGCGTGATGGAGGAGAGGAGGAGGAGGAGGATGGGAGGTAGGAGGAGGAGGAGGAGGAGTGAGGAGGATGAAGGAGAGGATGGGAGGGGGAGGGAGGAGGAGGAGGATGGAGGAGGAGGAGGAGGGATGGGAGGAGGAGGAGGAGGAGATCTACAGTCGAATTTGATTTGAGAGGACACGCGAGCGGACGCGAGACCCCTCCGAGGACCACACTGCTATGGGAATGAAGAAGGCATGGGTCGCGAAACACTGGACATAAGGGTACCCTTGATTTGGCAGACTCTGGAGACCTCGAACCAAAAACATTGCCATCTCTTGCAAGGCCGATTTTGATCTCCGCCGGCTTCCGCCGGCCTTCCGCCGACTTCCGCAGGCGGAAGCGCGGAAGCGGCCTCGTTTTACTGCCGCCGCGTTCCGCCCCCTTCCGCCGAGGAAGAGAAGGCAACTCCTTCGACCCTCGACGGCGAGGCCCTTTCTGGAACGCCTCAGATTTGACAGGGTCGACTTCCTAATCAAATTCGACCGTATGCACATCCGCCGCCCCCGTCCAGGCCCATGGCCTGGGCCCCAGGCGCCCCCCAAGAGCGCCGCCTCGGCGCAAGCATACGGTCGGCAACTTTTGGATAGCGTGTTGCTCCGCTCTTGCTGGCCCACCACGCGTCGGCTCGACACGCTATCCACTTCGCGGTCCCCGCGCGTCAACGTACCGAATTGCTCCCAGCCTCCCGCCCCGCGGAGCGAAGCGACATGCTATCCGCTCGCATGGCACAGCGTGTCGCCGGGGCCGCCGCCGCGCCGCGCCAAGCACAAGTTCCCAACCGTAAGCTGTCGGACTGCCGGCGGAGTTCTTGGACCTGCGCTCCTTGCGCGGAGCGCGCTGGGGGCGACGTGCTCTCGCCTATATGGCTACACGCTTGGCCCGGATGCAAAACAGCACGCGGTGAGGCACGCGGTCGTGCTCTCGCTACTGCCCCCCTGTGCCGCCGACCTCCCACTCCTCGGCCCACCTCTTCACCACTGCTGCTATCAGGGTGCTCTGCTGGGGCAGTCTCTTCTTCAGACGGCGGCGGCGACGGCTGTGGCGACGGCGGACGCTCCGCGGCTCCGCGCCGCCGAATCTGGCATGCGGGTCATAGCTCGGGCCTCCGGCGGCCAGTCGGGAAGGATAATTGCGGGGGCGACACGGGCAGAGAGGAGCGCCCTCGGCGAGGCGCGGCTGCTGGAGCGCACCCCCCAAGCGAGAAAGCCGCCGAGCGCCGCCGAAAGCATCCGACGACCCGCTCGATCTGCCATCGGGTTTTCGGACGTCTGCTGGTGCAGTGTCTTGTTCTTCGCCGCCTGCGGCGAGGCCGACCCGCGGCGGCGGCGGGCGGCAGCGCAGGGCGGCCTCTCGCAGGCGGCGGTGGCGCGGCCGCCACGGCTCCGCGCCCTCTCTACCGAGGGGGCGGCCGCCGCAGGCTGCAGGCCAGGCCGGCGGCGGCGGCCTCACACCGCCAGCGTCGCGATGACCTCGACGACGACGACGACGACGACGACGACGACGACGACGACGAGGAGGTGGAGGAGGAGGAGGAGGAGGAGGAGGAGGAGGAGGAGGAGGAGGAGGAGGAGGAGGAGGGGTTCGAGGACGAGGACGACCTCCCGCTCCACGAAGCACTGCAACACCACGCCACACCCACAGGGAGGCGACGACGACGACGGCGGCGAAGAGGGTCCCACAGCCGCACCATCCCACCCCCACCGGGGGGGGGGGCGGCGGGGACGGGGGGGACCCATCAGGGAGGGGGTGGCGCCCGGTCCCGCGGGCGCCGGGGGGGCGGGAGAGTGGGCGGGCCCTGGGCGGCCCTGGACCATACGGTCAGGAGCATTGGCGTACCAGTGTCGCTCCGCTGGCTCTTGCCCACCACGCACGCTCCGGCGCGACACGCTAATTACTCACGTCCCCATTCCCAGGCGTCAGCGCCCCCCGAGCTGCTCCCAGCCTCCCGCCCAGTGGAGCGGAGCGACACCTCATCCGCCTGCTTAAGGCATAGGGTGTCGCCGGGGCCGCCGCCGCGCCCCGCCGAGCAAAAGTTCCTGGCGCGTGAGATGATTGGCTGTCCCCCTCCTCCTTCCCCCCTCCCTTGGGGTCCAAAATGCCGTTTGAGGGGGAGGGGGCGCCGAGGTGGGGTGGGGGGGGGGACGAGCGGGTCGGGGCGGGGGGGCGGGCTCCCAAACGCATCCCTGGCCGCCCCTGGAGCCAGCTCCGCCCAAAATCGGTCCCCGACCCATCCCAGGGTCCACCTGGTGCAACTTTTCACCCCGGATCCGTCTTTGACGATCCCAGGGCCCGAAAACGGTCCCCGACGAGTGAGAAAGGCAAGAAGCGAACTCAAACCCAGCACCTCAGACCTCGCCACCCCTTCCTTCTGGCCGGAACCAGTGCTGGGCGACCTCTGGCCCACAGCCGACTCTCACGTCCGTATTGGTTGCAGCCGCCGATGGCCAGGGGGCCCCAGGGGCGCATTGAGATGAGATGTGGGAGCCGTGGGACCCGGGGAGACATCACGGCCCCGCCCATTTTGCACATCCCCCCCCCCAGCCGTCACCCCCCCTCGTGATGCCCTCACGTCGCGACGCCGCCTGCGTGGGTTGCTGAAGGGGCCCCAGGACACACAAATAAATATACACAAATAAAAGTATCCCCCATCTTTTCCCATATTTTCTGGGTTTTTGTCTTCCCCCCCACTGCCCATATTTTACCATATTTTCTGGGGAATCGAGGATTAATTGTGTCTGTGTGTTTTTTCCCCTCTTGAGTTGCGGCCGCCGGCGACCGGGCACCACGTGGAGCCCCCGCCGCAACCCTCGCAGTCCCCCGCCGAGGCGCCGCAGACGCTGTCCGCGGCCGCCACCGCCGCGGCGGGGCACGCGCCGCAGCCGCCCGGGCCGCCCGCCGAGAAGCAGCAGAAGCCGCCGCCGCCGCCGGCGGGCTGCTCGCAGCCCTGCGGGGCGCGGCGGCGGCGGCGGCGTCGGCGCGAGAGGCCGGGCGCTGCGAGGAGCGGAGGGCGCGAGCGAGCGACACCGGCAGGCGGCCTTCGGGGGAGGGGGGGCCCCTCAGCGCCACGCCTGGGCGCAGCTCGGGAAACGGGTGCTGCGGGGCCCCAGGACGAGGTCCGCGGACCGATGTTGAGCCTACAGTCAAAAACCCTAGTAAGGACGCGCGACTTTGCTCAGGGTACCCTTGCGTCCTTGCTCTTCCTTGCTCTTGCGTCCTTGGGGTTCTCGTCGTCCGCCGCCCCAAAAATCCCAACTTCGGCTTCCAAGGATCTTGCGTCCTTACCGCGCGTCCTTATTATGGTTTTTGACTGTAACTCCCCCGAGATTTGGGCGCTGCGATTTTCTCACGCTGGGCGTCTTCGACCAGTCTTCCGGGCCCAGGGGCCGCCACGTGTCGACGCGGCTCGACAAGTGCCGCAGCACGATGGGGTCTAGGGGTCGAGGGCCTTCCTCGTGACTTCTCACGACGTTGCATTTTTTCGCAACGTCCGTCGGATCTCAGGGACGGCGTCGTCGCCGCTGGCGTCATCGTCGTCGCTGTCGTCGTCGACGTCGTGGGCGTCGCTGGCGTCGTCGTCGTCGTCGTCGCCGGCGTCGTTCTTGTCGTCCTTGTCGTCGTCGTCGTCGTCGTGAGCATCGCTCTCCTCGTCGGCGTTGTCGTTGTTGTCGTCGCCGTCGCCGTCACCGTCGCCGTCGCCGCCGCCGCCGCCGCCGGCGCCGTGGTCGTCGTCGTCGTCGTCGTCGTCGTCGTCGTCGTCGTCGTCGTCGTCGTCGTCGTCGTCGGCGTCGGCGTCGGCGTCGGCGTCGGCGTCGGCGTCGGCGTCGGCGTCGGCGTCGGCGTCGTGAGCGTCGTTGCCGCCGTGAGCGTGGCTGTCGTCGTGAGCGTCGTCCGCGTCGCCGTTGTAGTCGTGGGCGTCGCCGCGCGCAGTCATCGCCGGCGGGCTGCTCGCAGCCCTATGCCCGCAGATGCCCGCAGAGGGCGGTCCTCCCTACGAGCCAAGCGGGGAGGGCCAGGGGCCAGCCGCGACCAAGAGGCGGCGAGAAAGACGCCCTGGGGGCCTCCAGAGGTCAAGACAGACCCCACAGGAGGCCCCCTGGAGGCCCGAGGCGGAGCCTCTGGGGGCCACGCAGACCATCCGAAGGCCAACGGCATGACCCAAATAGGCGGCCGATGTGCCATCCCTGGCAGCAGCAGAATCTTCTGGGTTGTTCCAGCTAAGCGGCCGCTGTTCGTCGTCGTCGTCGTCGCCGCCGTGAGCGTCGTCGTGAGCGTCGTCGTCGTCGTCGTCGTGAGCGTCGTCGTGAGCGTCGTCGTGAGCGTCGTCGTGAGCGTCGTTGTCGTCGTCGTCGGCGTCGGCGTCGGCGTCGTCGTCGAAGACGTCGGCGTCGGCTTCATCGTCGCCTTCTGGGCGTGCTCGCAGCACCAACTCTTCTTGCCGTCGGACCAGCCAGCCTGCGGGGGCTCCCGCCGTGTCCGCCCTCACGCCGCCCTGGCTCACCTCCTCCTCCCCCCGCCCCCTGCTCCTCGGAGCACGTCTCCTCCTCCTCCTCCTCCTCCTCCTCCTCTTCCTCCTCCTCCTCCTCCTCCTCCTCCTCCTCCTCCTCGTCCTCCTCCTCGTCCTCGTCCTCCTCCTCCTCCTCCTCCTCCTCCTCCTCCTCCTCCTCCTCCCCTCCTCCTCCTCCCCCCCCTGCTCCCGCGCCCTCCTCCCGCCACCATGCCCCAACGGCAGGACCAGGAGGTGCCCCTGCTGATCCTCCCCGCACGTTGCGTGGAGCCTGCAAAATCTCGACCCCCGACGTGGAAGCAGGGCGGATGGCTTTCAGCAGGTGGCTCTCTCCGTGTCGCCGCACCTGTTCGACCTGGAACTTCCCGACACATGCACAAACGGAAATGGCTCGTTTCTAAATGCGGCGACCGCCGTTGCGCCGCCGCTCCCTCGTCGTGGAAACTCAAACGGCTACACAGATGGAGAGCAACTCCTCCTGAGAATGGTGCTCGCGCTTGAAAGCTTCGGCTCTTGTGCAGCGCACGACCTGCAAACTATGCAACAGCTGCGCTGATGGAGGGCGGCTCCCTTGCAAAATGAAGCTGCCGCTTGGAATCTGCTCAAAGTTGCACAGACAACTTCCTTTCAGATGTCCACCTGCTATACGGATGGGGCGAGGTCACATGTGTTGCGTTTGCTTGCGCTGAACCGATGAGATTGCCTGACAGCGCCATTGAGCTCTGTGACTGCAGGATGACATGTCTAACATATGAAGCTGCTAGGGGGATGCTGTTTTTCGAAGGTTGTCGCCTGAGTGGCGGCATCTTGAGTCGATTCAGGTCAATCATCCTCCTTTTCCTCCTCCTCCTCCTCCTCCTCCTCCTCTTCGTGCTGTAGGCCTCGGTGCCCATGCTCGGGCGCAGCCTTACCCCCCAGGTGGCCGTCGCCGCCTGGGACGGCGGAAACCAACTCTCACTTAGGCCAAGGGGAGGGGGGGGGGGGAAGGAGGGAACACTTTTGATCTGCGGGGCGAAAGCGAATCTCTTCCGCTAAAAGCTAGGCGGGCTACGCACAGCTTTAATTAGGGAGACAGGGCACAGGAAGGCGGGGCCTCAGGCGGCCAGGAGCGGGCGGGGCCCGGGGAACAGGCGGTGCCGAAGTGGATGTGCAGGAAAAGGTACGTCTTGGACTGAGGGAACACGCATAAATCTGAAGAAGGCGGAGGGGGGAGGAGGAGGAGGAGCCGCTCGGCTCAGGGCGGCCACCGTTGACCGCCCCGGCGGCCCCCATCGATGATGGCTTCTATCCCGTCCTTTCCCTCCTCCTCCTCCTCCTCCTCCTCCTCCTCCTTCCGATGCCTCCCAAACATCGTCGTTGCTTTCCCCCGCCTCGCTCCGCGCGCGGCCAGTCCTCCCTCGGCTCAGGCGTCCGATGGCTGGCCGTGCGGCTATGTGTGTGGCGACAGAAGAGGCCACGAGTGACGTCCGAGGGGACCAACTCATGATTATCCACCTCTTCTTCTTACTCCTACTACTACTCCTCCTCCTCCTCCAACTCCTCCTCCTCCTCCAACTCCTCCAACTCCTCCTCCTCCTCCTCCTCCTCCTCCTCCTCCTCCTCCTCCTCGTCGTTCTCATCCTCTTCCGTCCTGCTCACCCATTGATTTTCCTATCCGGGCGATGCGGTGCACTCTAGGTGGTGCAATCAGCGTGGTGCCATCTAGGTGGTGCGATCCATGCGGCGCAAGGCAACGCAAATCAACGCAAAGCGGCGCAACGCAATGCCAAACAATGCAAAAAAACAGCTCGAAGCAACGCCACGCGGCAACGGGCGGCCACGAGCCGGCCAGGCCGACACTGGGGCCCAGTGCAAGTGGCGGCGACGGACGGCGGCGACGGCGACAGGCGGCGACGATCCTGTCAGACCAACACGGGGGCCAGTTGCGCGACGGGAAAATGACCACAGCCACTGCTTCTTGTTTGCGCCGCCTTCCAGCCTGCCGAAAAAGAAGCAGTGGTTGTGGTCATTTCCCTGGTGCCAAGCTTAACGAAAATGACCACAACCACTGCGTTGCTTCTGGTGGCTGGAAGGCGGCAACAAAAGAAAAGCAGTGGCTGTGGTCGTTTTCACGTCCCGTACCAGTGCAAGAGGCCGAGACGGACGGCGGCGACGGGTGGCGACGAGCGGGCCAGGACTGCGGCCAGACTGGCACGCCCGGTTGCCTTAGAACACGAGTAGGGACCCGTAAGTGCAAGCACCGTTTGGGAAATCACTCGTCCTGCTCCACCCCAAGACGTGCCGGTTGGGCAGGCCGGGCGCTTCGCCTGAGACGGTCTCACAACTTATGGTCCTGAAGCGTGAAATTTGCAAAAAGTTTCGAAGGATGGGGGGCATTTTCACTATGTGGCCCTCGCCTTACCGCCGCGCACGCCCGCCGTAAACGATTTCACCAATTTCGCGGATGGAAGGGGGGCTTTTTCAAAAGGTGAATCTCGCATTCGCGCCGCGCACATTCGTGTTAAAAGCTTGCAGCAGCTTCGCGGATGGATGGGGTTGTTTTCAATGTGGCCCTCGCCTTTCCGCCGCGCAAATTCGTCTGAAAACTGTGCAACACTTCCAAGCATGGAAGGGGGGTGGTTTTCAAACTAATGTTCTCGCCGTAGCCCCGCGCACATTCGTTTTCAAATGTTGCAACAGCTTCCTGGATTGAGGGGGCTCTTTTTCCAAATGTGGCTCTCGCCTTACCGCCGCGCACGTTCGTCTTAAACTCTACAAGCGTTTCACCGATGGGGAGGGAGATCGTTGGCAAGCTGTGGATTCCTCCTGAGCGCCGCGCACATTCGTAGTTGAATGTCGCAGCAAGTTCAGGGATGGAAGGGAGGTGGTTTTCAAAGGAGTGCTCTTGCCCAAGCGCCGCACACATTCGTCTGAAACACGTG